ACAAAAACCCATTCCTCCGAATTTAAGGTGTTTGATGAAATTACCATCCTTGTATGTAGACTCTGCACATGATTTACGTGGCAAGATAAAATGGATGGTGCACATCTTTCCAGCATACGATAACAGCAGATGATATCCCCTGCGTCTATGAGAAGGAAAAAAAAATTGTAGAAGATATGGCCGGATATGCCTACTTATCTTAGCGGTAAACTATATTCTAATTAACTCCTAAGGAAGATTTTACTTCAGTTCCTATAGTTTAAAGTTTCACAATTTCAACTTCAGAGATTTCAAAAAGGTTTCGATCGGCGTGATTTTTCAATATTAAATAGCTAACAAAAACTAACAAATGACAATATTTTGAAGTATTTTTAGGTATTTTTAAGGATTTTATGGAATTTTTCACATGTACAAGGTTTATAGAAGAAGAGATAATAATAATAATAATAAATAAATAATGTGAGAAAATAGACATTCCATTAGTTATTTTAACGGTAAAGAATCACATTAAAAATTTGGCGTAATTATAGGATTAATATGAAAAATTTTAATCTAGCGACCAAATTAAAATATTGGCAAATCGACAAAGGTCATTACAAAAAATTCGACAAATAGCGATCAATTTTTTTATCGTTATAAGTCAAAAATCCATCGCTATATATAATTAGTGACGGATTAGAGACAATATAAATTCCGTTGCTAATATGGTAATTACCATTTTCTTAGCTATTGAAATTTTTTTCACTCGCTAATTCAATCTAAAATAGTTGTCCGTCGGGTCTTATATATGTCGTCAATCCATCGCTATTTCACTCACTTCCATCTCTAAATAGTGATAGAACTAGTGTCGATAAATTATAGTTGCTAAAAATTTTGTAATTCCATCGCTATTTATTGATTGTATATATCTCCATCGCTAAATATTATTACAATTATGTCGTTATATTCGTCGCTAAACGAAGTTTAAAAAAAAAATCAATAATTGTATATTGTTAATTGTAATAATATAGAACTATAAACAAAATCTTATTAAAATACTATATATTATTAAATAATATTAAAATTATATAAATTAAATTAAAATAAATATATAAATGTATTAAGATGTATAATAACATTAAATTTTTTTTTAAAGAAGAAATTTAATCTTCATTATCGCTAATCTAGTATCATCTTTCTATTGCTTGTGTATTAAAAAAAATGATTGACTTTTGAATTATAAGAGGGTTAACAAGAGAGATGCGAGGTCTTTGAAGGTCCGTATAAAGTGAACTTGACTATTATGTTGCTAAATGATATAACAAAGAGGCAATGCACAAACATATTATTATGATTATTAAGGTGTTTTGTAAATGGCATTCTTAACTTATTAGAAATTCTCTCTTGAAACTAATTAATAATTAAAAAGGGTAATTGATATTCAATAAAAATGATCACAATACTAACCGGCCTAAAAAAAATATTATACAACAATTATATATTATATACCAACTCTTTTATGTTAAAATACGAATTTCGAAACTTAAAACTTATTAATTAGAAGGAAAAGAGAGAGAGAGAAGGAAAGAGAGAATGGTTGAACATGCTTACCATTTAAAAGAGACAGGGAGCTCATAAAAATTGTATATACTTGAATATTTTAGCTATAGTTTGGTTATTAAAAATTAGACTGTGGAATGAGAATCAAAATGATTTTTTTTTTTTTTTAAAAAAATGTTAGGTTAGAAGGAATGATAAAATGAATGAAAAAGAAAAAGAAAAGTGAATGTAAAAAAAAAAAAAAAAGACGCATATTTTTATTTTCATGAAAAATGTTAGAATAAAAAAATATATATATATATAAATAAAGTTTTTGACGGTGATGATATGAAAGTAGTACCACCATTTTTACTGCATGACCATCACTATCATTTACCCGATAATATTAATTATTATAATTAAACTTGCATCATCATTGCCATTATACTTACTCCTGCCTATTTCATACCAAACCTACAATCATTATACTATCAATAAACGTCAATGTTCCAATTGCTATTGTTGGCACCATAGCCATCGTTGGCAATCATCAATACCAGAAACTAAATCATATCATTGCATTTTCATTTTGGCTGTGATGTGATTGTAATTGGACTGCTTTTTCCCAGTTTCAATACCATTAATTTAGCAAGCATGGGCAAGAGCAAGAAAATTACTACATCATACGTTATTTTTTTCATTTCCTGCAGGAACCTTCAATCCACACCATCCATACATGAACTGAAAGGACCATTCATTCTGATCCCATTCGCACATGGCTCTACTATCTTGGTTTTATTTTCCTTTTCCTTTTTCTTTCTTTTTTTTCCCCCATTGTTTAATTAGAGGCCCAGAAGATTAAGTACTGCACAATCATTAAAATTTGTTTTTAAAGACCTTTTAATTACAGCTAAATTATTATTTTTTTGTCGAAAATTAAATTTTTAAAACATATATTTCTTTTTTATTATTTGATTTATCATAAAAAATAAGTTGAAACCACTTTTCACCGTATCATAAAATATAAGTTGGAAAATAATACATTTTAACTTATCATTTTTTTTTAATAAAAATAGTAGTGTTCTTATCATTATCAAAGATTTTTTGGTCTTTATTGAACATGGAAAATATATCTTTTTATTGTATCTTGAAATGTATAATTAACATATAATGCAATATGTTTTGTATTATAATGTATTTTCCAGTAATATTATTACGATTATTAAGGTTTTTGTAAACCATGAGAAATGCACATGCATATTATTACAATTAACTATATATAAATAAAATTAACTTAATTAATTTTAATTTTAACGAAATTAAATTAAAAATAACAATAAATTAAATTTTTTAATATAAATAAAGTTATAATTCAACCAATAAAACATAATTAATCTAATTAATTAATTATAAATCAAATTAACTTAATTAATTCTAATTCTTACCAAATTAAGTTTAAAATAACAATAAATTAACAAGTTTTAATATAAATAAAATTTTAATTCAATCAATTAAAAATAAATAAATAATTAATTAATTATAAATAAAATTAATGTACTTAATTCAAATTTTACCAAGTTTAAACTTAAAATAACAATAAATTAACATGTTTTAATATAAATAAATTTTTAATTCAACCAATTAAATAAAATTAATAAAATTAATTAATTAAATATAAATCAAATTAACTTAGTTAATTCTAATTCTAACCAAACTAAATTTAAAATAACAATTAAATTTAAAAGTTTTAATATTAATAAAGTTTTAATCAAATTAATTAAAGAAAATTAACCTAATTAATTAAGTAAATATAAATCAAATTAACTTAATTAATTCTAATTCTAACCAAATTAAATTTAAAATAAAAATTAACTTAACTTAATTAAGAAAAATTAAACAATTAATTAATTAATTAATTCTAATCCAACCAATTAAACATAATTACCTTAATTAATTAACTAAACATGTATAAAATTAACTTAATTAATTAAAAATTAATTCTGATTAAATTTAAATTATAATTAAATTAACAAATTAACATAAAAATTAACAAAATTTAATAATTTAATAAATTAATCAATAAATTAGCCTAACAATTAACAAAAATTAACAATTTTACAAATAAATCAATTAAATAACAATTAAATATATACACGAGTTATAAATCGAGCAATTAAACTTAAAATTAATCTAATAATTACAATAGATTACTAACTTTAATTAAGAAAAAAAAAGAAAAAAAAACTTACCCGATTTGGATGGAATTACACTAAGAGGAGGAAATGAAAAAATGAGGTTTTTGGAAGAAAAAACCTTTGAGTGGATATGGATTAATTGAGAATGGAGGAATGAAGTTTGGTGGTGCTTTGATATGAGGGGAAAGATTGGCGGCTCTAGCTGAAGAAGGAGAGGGAAAAGATAATAGGGGAGGACAAAGAAGGGAGTTTAATTAGGAATTAAAATACAGCGACATACACGATCTATTTGTTGATCCGTCACTATTTAGGGATGAATATAAGTGTTCCTTGCTAATTCGTCTCCAAATGGGCGGCTATTTTTCACTTATAGTGACGGATGTAACTCGTTCGTTGCTAATCCATCGTAAATTTGATGTTTTTGACTTTCAAAAATTATGTCCAACTTTTTACCTTTAGAAATGGATTTTTCCGTCGTTAAATTGCGAGAGATGTGTTCATTAGTTACGAAATATCTATTGCTAAATTGAGACATTGAAAATAGCAATGGATTTGTAATTCCATCGTTATTTTTTCTAGCAAATCCATTACCAAATCGTTTCTAAAGCTTTTAGAAAGATTTTACTATCAAATTTAACGAAGGATTAGTGTTTATCTCTAATAAACCATCACAATTCTATCGCTATTTTATCGTTGATTCCAATTACGTTATTCTATTGTTATTTGCTTGTTATTTAGTGATATATAAACTTTCGTAGCTATTTGACAATTTTTTTGTGTAATGGGTTACATTTTTAATCTAGTCTGATGGAACAAAAGAAACTGATCGGCGGTGGGGTTTTTTATTTTTTATTTTTTTACAATCATGCCATTTTTATTGGTTTATGTTTATGTACCGATAGAATTCATTTTAAACCAATTTTCAGTGGGTAGATGCATGCCACTGTTCTCCAACTCATGTGGAAACCTTTTTGTATTAATGTGTTTGTTTATTTATTTTTTGGATAAACTGATGAATTTATGAATGAGAAAAAAACCATTATTTAATGACCTATGGGCGGTAATAAAAATATAATTTCTCTGGCAGCAACAATGTATGTAGAATCTGCGTAAGTGAAGTGCATAAAATACTAACAGCTTCATTAAAATATATATTAGTTGCAGATTCCAGTCTGCAGAAGAGAACAAAATAATAGCATATGGTGGCTTGACATGTGTATGATCAGATCCTTCATAAAACGAACTCTTAAAAATATATATTAGTAATAAAAATAATGTGAGAGGTACTCAGGATGGAGAATTCCAAAGCTCAGCACTTTTAACCTTTGACACACTCTCCAGTACTTGAAAAGGGATTATGTCCCCAATAACAACTACCATCTTGGTTTCCAGGTCTACTTTGTATGAGGACACTCCTGTTCAATTTACAAGACAGAATGAAAATATATACTTTACAGCCAGAACATAACATATGCATATAGGACAATGAGCAAGATAGCTAAGAGCATGCATAAACACCTAAGCAGCACTCGGCTCCATGCGCACAAACATATATAATATACATAAACTCAAAATTAATTTGCAGTGTCAGTGTCATGGCATAGGGAAAATTCAGTTCACGAGCTGGTGCGAATTTTAGTGCTACTGATACTTTTTATGCTCGCAAACATATTTAATTTGTAACATCATAAATTAAGCAATTAATAGAGAACATGAACTCCATCCAAAAGAAATTAATAACAAAGCGGAAATAATGGAAAAACTGATTTTGTGGTTGTACTGGTTGGTCTGCAGAATTCCATTTAACTTGCACATCCTAACTCACGGTGTACAAATATCGAGGCACATGTGTTTATGACCGCTCTTCGGGTTGTTTTTTCTCAAACAAAATTTTCTCATTGTCTTTTTTTGGTACAGGTTCTCACTAGCTTTTGCATATCAAGACCATCTCCTGCCATCGTCCGATTCAAATCCTAAGTGATAACTTTAAGTGCAAACTCACTTATCAACTAATTAAGCTAATCCTGTAAAGGTAATTTTATTTCCCCTCACGCTTATATCGGCTAATCTTCAAGGAAGTGGTGAGAAATGATCTTATCCTTGCAAAAGAGATAGACAAGATTTTTTTATGAAAACCAAGTATGCTATATTGCATCCCTTGACGTACCTTCCAGCTTCGAAACATGTTTCTCAACTTTCCTTGCACAGCCATTGCAGTCCATGGACACCCTTAGTACCACCATCTACATCGTACATTAGATGACACTAGTTAATGCTACCAAGCTATAAATCTACTGTTCTGGAAGTCGGTATTAATTTTTTCCCCTACTTCTGATGTATGCAAAAGGAAAAATGAAGACGGTAGAGTTCAACGAGACAGGAACTTAATTACCTTGGGCTTCAATTGAAAGGCCAATGTTTGGTTACCAGCAACAACATCTTTCAACCTCATCAACTGACTTTTGTCACTAGGTATCAATGGATTTTTCTCGAAGTCATCATCTTGACTATCCATCGAATTGATGCAGAAACAAGAGCAACTTGAACCTGGAGTAAGACAAAGGCAGTCCAACACCTTGCCAAAACTGAGCTTACCCATGTCTGCCAAATCTTCTCCTCTACAAAAGTAAATATTAAGTAGGTAATCTGACCCTCCCTATTTACAAACCCACATGACCATCAACTGAGACTGTGAGCGCCAACATGTGGCAAACTACCTGGCTAGTGCGTATTTGACAAAATAGGGGAAACAAAGAAGATACAGGTAAGATTTTATTAGGAAAACCAAACGCGAATGCACAGAAGCTTGTGAAGTGTTAAACATGCCAAGAACCTCTTTTTTATAGGGATCAATGGCAAGCAAAGCAAAAAGTAGAAAGGGATTCAATAATAACTGAAAAAAAAAACTCTCTTAGTTGTAAATTGTAATAGCCCAACTAGATTTTGTCATGTGATGCACCAAAAGGTAGTACAAACGCTAGAATCTAAAAAGGCTTGAGAGAAGCGAATTTCATGAGAGAAGCAAGGGAGTAGCTCAAGACTAGACAAGTGGGTGCATTACGCATAGGTCTCTTGAGACCGTTCCTGAAAAGAAACACCCAACACACACAAAAATTAAGAAGTGAAGAAGCGCGGTTCATATGACCAATAGTTGCAGAAAGGAAGAAACAATGGCCAGTCACTAAGACTGAACTTATATGCATATGAACCTCAAACTTTACAACATGTGATGATGGTAGAAGAAATATTTTTTTCTAACCATTTGGATAAGCATCTTTGTCATGCATGCTTATTCTCAAAGAGTAATATAAAACCATTCATATCTTGAGATACTTCTATACACTACAACAAAATAAGGGTATAAAGGCAGTATTATTAAGGCGGTTTACGTAACCGCCTCAAAGTTTATCAACATTTTAATGGTGGTGTTAAGTCTATTGAAAAAGTATGGGGTGGTTTACAAAGTCACCCCAAATTTTAAAGAGAGGCGCACAACTTTATTTCTAATTTTTTTCCTTTTTTTTTTTTTTGTTCTAAAACAGGAAAGGACTCTTCATTTTCCCTCTAATCTTAATTAGGGTTTTCGGCTTCTTCTTCTTCCATTTAATTATTCTCCTCGATCTTCTTCTTCCTTCTTCTCATCTCGCTTCTTCATTTTTAATGTTTTTTTTTTTTTTTATTTGAAAGGAGAAGATCAAAAGCTTCATTATCGCCATCTTCACCTCTCGCTTCTCCTTTGCATTTTCGTCTCCTCTCGCTTCTTCCTTTTTATTTTTATTTTTATTTTTGGGTTTTGAAAAGGGAGAAGAGATGGTTCATTATACCTCTCTTTTTAGGGTTTTCCTTCTCCTCTTGCTTCTTTCTTCTTCTCCTTTGCTTTTCCTTCTTCTCCTCTCGCTTCGTCCTTCTCTCTCATTCTTGTTAGAAACTAGATTATACCTATCCACCAATAAGAGTCTTTCCCATCCATAACTTGGCTTATTTCAAATCAATTGGGTACTTATTGTTGATTTCCCATTGATCTCTCTAATGTAAGTGTGCGAAATTAAATTTATGGCCAATGAATTAGATTACATTTAATTTTTTTTTTGTTTGTGCTCTTTTCTTTTCTAATTACCTTTGATTTTTTTTTTAATGAGTATTTTATGGTGAAGAAAATCATAATTCTCTTATTTGTCATGTTTGGAGTTGTAAGCATGTGCTCTATTCAAGGCTTGGTTTGTGCTAGGCTTGATTTCACTTGATAATGGCCTCGCTCTTGATATTCGTTGGCTAGATGATCCTATAAAAGTGACTATTTATGCTAGAGAAACCCGGTATATCTCTAGTTCGAGCTTTCTTTTATTTTGTACCAATATAGGAATTGTATGGCCGTAATGGCTAGAGTGTTATAGACTTTAGGCTTACATCTTTGAAAAGATTTCCAATGGAAATAGGGAGAGGGGTGGAATAACCTTTAGGCTTACATGTTTGAAAAGTTTTCACATTGAAATCCATTGTAGTATCTACAATGTAGTCCTTTTTATTTTTTTTTCTTTTGATAAATCGACACATTGATTGCCGACATGTTTTCAATTGCTTGGAGAAACAAACTTAAGCATGGATTCCTCCTAGTCCTTTGGGCTCCTGGAGTGAAATCTACTATAAATTTTTTAGTGGAAAAGAAAGTCTCCAAAAAGCTTAGGAAAGTGATATGTATGGAAGGAAAAGGAGACAACAATATTGGCTAAAATAACGAGTGTCAATTTTTCAAACAATGCGGCTCATTGTCTATCATTCAAAATTTTATTAATCTTGAATTCAAAATCATGAGCACAAGGCTCATTGTCTATCATTCAAAATCAATTAAGGCTCGATTTTCTTTTAGGACTCTTTGTTGGGCTAATACTTTTAAATAAATATAGCCTTAGTGCTTCACTAGAAGATGTGGCCTAAGTACTAAATCCAACTTTTTCAATTTTCGACCTTATGAACTACCAAGATATACTTTTATAGGAGCACATTTTGGTTTTTCCTTAAAAGTGACGATATATATATTTGGGCTCATTTTAGTATTGTCTTGCCTTGGCCAAATTTTAGCTAAGTTATCCATAGCTAGATTAGTATCTTAAAAAAAAGCAACCTCTCTTTGGACTCGTATCTTGAATAATTAATACAACGCTTAGACTTACTACCAAATTACAAGTAAATATAGTTCTTTGATGTCAACGATATGCACATAAGAAGTCTATCTATATGACATAATTATAGCATACTTTAATTCAAGGCCTAAGCTTCCCGAAAACCAAATTAGAAATAGTGGGCTTTACTCGTGATGAACACTAACTAGTAATCACATGAGATGATTAACAATGTTCATAGCCCATTTACTTGTTTGTTTGGTTCTACCAACACACCATGAAGTGCTAAATTTTATTCTTCATTTCATCTTCCATGAAATAGACTTTCTCAATACCATCACTTATCATTTATAAGCCAATGCTTTTACTTGTTGCTATTATTTATAATTTGTATATTCTTTTATTTGTAGATTGGAATTCGAGTATAGAGAATAGTGGAAACATTAGAGGAGATTAACTTTTAGAGGTTGGTGTGGTTAGTAATATTACATATTTTTTTCTGTTTTTTTTTATAACATAGTGGATAAGTTTATTTTTTTCTTCTAATAAATTAAATTGATTTATTTTTCTATATTTTTTATGGTGGTTCAACTGAGTTGATTGAAGCATATTTGTTGGGTAATTTAGGTGACTAATTCAAGGTAAATTTCTTATCACAACTTAGACAATAAGCTTATTGCATCTCACTTGTATTTGTGCTTGAAAGGAGATAGGATTATTTGCAATCGGATGGTTGTTGATATTTGAGACTATAGAAGTGTCAAGTGCTAAATGTGTTGATAAGAACTTTATGATATAATTTATTTGATACTATAACTAGTTTTAAGCTGTTTTTTTTTTTAATTGTAGAAAATTATAGCATTCTTTTAAGGATTCTACAATATTTATGAAATGGATAGCAGTTGGAAGAACAAGACTAGAACCAGTAATGAATATAAAAAAGGAGTTGAGGAATTTCTTGAATTAGCATTTAGTAATAAATCTTATGGTGAGAGAATTTTTTGTCCTTGCATTCAATATGGTAATTCTTCTTTACAAACATATGAAGATGTTAGAGTTCACTTAATTTGTGATGGGTTTTTAAGGGGGTATACTTAGTGGGTTTTTCATGGAGAGTTCTTCGTTTAGTAACATTAGGTCATCTTTGTGTGTTCCTACCTTACATGTATAAGGAGTGAGTTCTAAACCAACTTCTATTAATGTGAATCCATGATGATTAGATGATATGGTGGGGTTGTTGCACGATGCTTTTGGTGTAGTTGGTCAATGTGACAATGAAATGAGTGAATATGAATACGAAAAAAGTCATGATAAATAAATAAATGATGAAATGAATGGGCAATGTCAAAGCTTTGATGTAGATCAACATAATGAATAGCCCACCCAAGAGTCAAATATGTTTAATGATTTATTGAAAAATATGAATGAAGAGTTATATTACATTTATACCATTTAAAATGTTTTAATGGGTGGATCGAGAAATCATTTACTATGTTATTGGAGTTATTGGCTATTGCATTTCCTAAAGGTATATTGTTGTCTAAAAACATAGAAGGTAATAATGGTCCGATGGAAACTTTAGGTGCTAGAAAGAAAATACCGACAAAAATGTTGCATTACTTTCCTTTGATACCTCTTTTGCAAAGGTTATTTTGTTCAAACAAAACTCGCTAGTGATATGAGGTGGCATGAGGAAGGTCATAAGAAAGATGGATTATTAAGGCATCTTGTAAATGGAGAAGCATGGAAAAATTTTGATATTCGATATTTAGAATTTGCTTTAGATTCTCATAATGTAAGGCTCCACTAGTTAGTGATGGTTTTAATCCTTTTAGAAAAATGAGTACTACATATAGTACATGGTATGTTATATTGATTGTATATAATACTTCACCTTGGATTTGTATGAAACAATCATCATTCATATCATCAATGATTATTCCATGTGAGAATAGTCTAGAAAATGACATAGATGTGTACATACAATCTTTAATAGAAGAATTGAAAAAATTATGGATAGGTGTAGAAACTTATGATGCTTCCATAAAACAATCACTTAAAATACGAGCTGCTTTGATGTGGATGATAAATGACTTTCCTACTTATGCAAATTTATCTGGTTGGAGTACAAAAAGAAAGTTTTCATGTCTATGTTATGCTGAGTCCACATGTTCAAAATGATTGTATAAAAGTAAGAAGCATTGTTTCATGGGTCATTGTTGATGGTTACCTAATGATCATATATTTTGTTATAAAAAAGATTGCTTTGATGGTATCGAAAAGCTGCAAATGGCACCATCTAGAAAAGTGGTAGTGATGTCTTAAGATAGTTAGATGGCATACATTATACTTTTGGAAAATTACCATACGTGAAAAGAAAAAGGGTTGTGAATAAAAAATCTATCAAAACTAATGTTAGGAGCCCAAATGTTGAAGGGATAGTTAATACATCTAGTGATGCTGAGGATGCAAAAAGGTGGTGAAAGAAAAAAAACATATTTTTTGAATTACCTTATTAGGAGTTTAATTTGTTGTGTCATAATCTTGATGTGATGCATATTGAAAAAAACATGTGTGATAATATG